GGGGGCCGCCCCGGCTCGCCCCAAGGGCGGGGGGGGAAGCTAAAGCCGAACCCACCCGGTGTGGGTGGTATCCAGGCTGGGGGGGGACCCTCGGGACCCGGCAGCGTGGGTCAGTGGGTAGGGCTGTAGCTCCAAATTCAGCAGAACTGGAGCTCCAGGCAAGCCCCTTGCCCTGCTTTGTTTGTGCCTCACAAGTTTCCCTTCCCTTCTCAGGTGACCCCAAAGCAGGAGGCAGCTCTGGCCACGGCCCTACTCACGAAGACGTGGAAGGGGTGACTCTGGCAGACCCTGCGCCCCACGGCCGCCCGGAGCCGCCTCTGCACCGTGCGCTTCTGGGAGGCGTCATCGAAGGCGGCACGGGCGCCCGGCCTCCGCTCGTCCAGCGTCACATTGTACCGGAGCCCTGGGCCGAGAGGGGAGGAGGTCAGCGCCCGGTGGTGCCCGAAGCTGGCCGGGGCACAGGACACGGGGCCCTGCTGTGCTCACCGAAGTGCCTCTCTCCCCTCTCGGGTGCCCGCGACGCGGCCTGGAAGCAGAGCTCGGCGCTGAGGCAGGCGGCCTCCTTGCCGCTGCGCCGGCAGCTCTTGTGGAGCACGCTGATGGACGGCGGCGTCACAGCCAGTGCCATGGCCACCTGCACGATCCGCCGGGACCTGCAATAACCCGTTGAGTCCCCACAGGGCACGGGGCAGCCAGCGCCACCCCCAGCACCAGGCCAGCCCCCGTCACCCTCCATGGGGGCAAAGCCGGGGTACCAGACTGGAGTGGACGAGGAGACTCCCTCCCCGTTGGAGCTGGGATGATGCCCCATGCACCCACCCAAGGGGCCTGGACAATTAGAGCTGCTCTAAAGGGGCTGGAGGGGACACTGCTGGGGAAACTGAGGCATGGCATGTTGCCCATCCCTGGGCCCCATCCAGCCCCACAGCCAGGCTGGCATCAGGGCCACGGCCCCGCACCTGCCCCCCTCACCTCAGCACCACGGCAGCACCCTGGGCCCCGACGGCCAGGTCCACCAGGGCGTCCCCATCGAGGTCCAGCTGCCCATCCAGGCTGCGCCCGAAGTAGCTCAGGCCGGGGCGGAAGGAGGAGGCTTCAATGCGCTGCCAGGGGAGGGGGTCATCGGTCACCTGTCCTGTGTGGGCAGCACCCCCGAACTCGGACACCTGGGTTCCCGCCCCTGCCCTGCCCCTGGGCTGCTGAGTGAACTCGGCCAGGGCGGGTGTCAGCTCCCCACAGTGCTTCGGGGGGGGATTTAACGCTTCTCGGCACTGCTACTGGCTCCGTGCAACTCCCCTTTCCCCCCCAGTCACCACCCTGCGCCTTGCCTCAGTTTCCCCTTCAGCCAACTGGGGAGGATGGTGGAGCTCAGCAGGGCTTAGATCAAGCACTGCGGGCTGAGACTTCCCCCAAGTCACTGCTCCACTCTGTGCCTCAGTTTCTCCTTTGCCCAACTGGGGAGGATCACAGAGGGGGTTCGGCTCAATCGCTGTGAGCTCAGTACTTGCAGCTGCTGCCTGGCCGGAGACGTGGCCCAGCCTGTGTGGTGCAGACAGAGCCGATTATTTACAGCAGGTCCTAGCATAATCCCTGAACCTGAGCGGGGCTTACAGCTGGCACACGAGGAGGGGTTAACACAACCATGCACCCTGCCCCAGCTCCTGACCTGCTTGTAGGTTGGGAGGACAGTGCCACGGGCACCGTAGTAGAGGTACACGGCCCCCCGGTGCCCGTCCTCCAGCGGCGCTCCCCCCGCCACATCATTGAAGCCGTCGTGGTTGAGGTCCGGCAGCGCGGCCAGGGCGTAGCCGAAGCGCGAGTCCTGCGGCTTCCGCTCGGCCTCCAGCGTCCCGTTGGGCATCAGGAGCAGCTGGGGCAAACGGCACCCAATTCAGCCCCTGCTTGGCACCACTCCCTTGTTACATCCCTGCAGCAGGCCTGGATAACCCATGCCCACTCCATGAGCCTCTGCCCTGGTCCATATGAGCTGGAGTTTGCTGCACACTGGATGACGAGGCTTTCACCACTGGAGTTTTTTAAGATCCCAAGAGAATCGAGTCCTGTCCCAACCCCTGTTCTGGGCAGGACAGGGTTACTCTCCCCTGCTGCTACCTCCCCAGGGCTGTGTGCAGGTATAGCTGGAATCTGCGGCCACCCCAGGACCTGGCTTCTCCCCACCCCATGCTCATTGCCCCCACGATCCAGGAGAATACCCCCTTCCATTGGGGGCAGGGAGGGAGGGGGTGGCAACCTACCGGCCCCACTTTGTAGACATAAACCCGGCCAGTCTCTTTGCTCTGCTCCCCCAGGAACATGGGGGCAGCCACCAGCAGGACATCAGTGACCCCGTCCCCATTCACGTCCACGGGACACACCTCACTGCCGAAGTACGAGCCGATCTGTGGAGGGGGCGAGCAGGCATGGGGTTAGGGTGGTTGACCCAAAGTCCCCCCACCTCGCCACCTGGTTCGCCTGGATCAGCGGTGTTGGCGTGACCAGTGTTAGCAGAGCTCCACGGGGCCGGGCAGGAAAGGGTGTCTGTGGGGTTTGGGGGCATGAAGGGGTCAATGGAGGGGGTTACCCCCAAGCACTCACCTGCTCCCCAGTGAGGGCCTGGGATATGGCCACACTGCCCCGGCTGCTCATCTCAAACAGGATCACCTTCCCCTTGTGCTGGAATCGGGGGGCTCCGGCAACGTACAGCCGCCGGCCGCCTCGCAGCCGCACCGAGGACACGGTGTAGCCTGCGGGAGTGGGGGGGAGACACCCAGGGAGCCCTGTCAGCCTTGCCTTGCAAGGCAGCCCCCTTTTGACAAGGTGCCTAAACCCCTGGGGAGATGTGGCAGGGTTTGGGAAAGCCAAGAGCCCCTCCATGATCCCCCCGCCCAACATCCCACCTTCCTCGGCATCTGCTCCCCTTCTTTGCCCTCGGGACAAAGGGCACACTGGGGACTTGGGCTGCACTGACCGAGGTAGGCGGCGTGGTTCTTCAGCTCCAGGGGGAACTCCTTGGCAAAGGCCTGCCGGGGGGGCACGATGCGGCCACGGCGGCTCTCCTTGAGCACGGCCCCATCCCAGTCGTAGGCTCCCACGGTGCCAAACAGGATCCCGTCCTGCCCCGGGACAGATGGGACGGTGAGGCTGAGCTCTGCTGCACCAGCATTTGAACCCCGATCCTTTAGGTCTAAAAGCACCAGCCTGAGCTGAGCAAAACCCACCCGTGCTCCAAGCCAGGGGCAGAACAGAGACACAGGGTACTTGTACACGGGACGGGGGTTTAACCCCTAAGGTTTTATTCTATGCCCCTTAATTGTAAAGGTGCGGTATCGAATAAAACCCTGAGAACTAAATCATTTGAATTTTTTCATCATGTTATGGCGAGGGGCGGGATCCTTTTTTTCTGCCCGCCTCTCCAGCAGCCAGGGAGCGAGCTGACAGTGGCATCGTTGCAATTTGCAATGTTGCAAACTAAACTACATCCCTATGTAGTTTAGTTTGCAATGATGCAAAGTCATTTCAAACCCACCAAAGTCTTACACTGTATGCCATTAAGCCACACAAAGTGACATTTCCATCACGTGTACATGTTAATGGCATCACATGTACAAGCGCCCATAATGTCCTGCTACGGCCCAGACCCCGCTGTGGTGTCAGGACCAAGTGAAAGCCCTGAAAACGAGCTTTCGCCTCATGGCGGGCTATAGCAGCAGAAGAGAGGCCTGTGTCTACTGCCACTCCCAGCAGTAAAAAAACCACTTTGGATGATTTCTTTTGGTCCAGATGTTCCCCTTTTTCAGTTCCTTGTGGTTGCTGTCTGGGTTTTGGGCTGGGTTTAAGCATTTCTAGCTTTGGAAAGGGCTGTTTCTCTCTTAAGTCAACGTTCTCACCATCCCCTGACTCCAGGAGCTGGCGATTTAGGCACAGCATCAATTATCCCAAGAGCTGGGATAATACCGTGGGCTGACTGGCCTGGGAGAGGGGATAAAGAGGCTTCTACTCACTGTCCGGGCTGATTTTTAGGAGGGAAGAGGCCCAGGACTGGCTCCCCCTGCACTCCAGCCTGCCCTGATGGAGCAGAAATCAGCAGCAGCAGGTCAGGGAGAGAGAGTCACTGCCCACGAAATCCCTGCTCCCTGCTGCTTGTTGGTTTTTAATAGCTACGAACGCCAGCAGAAGAGGCCACGTTTGGAGACTCCCGTATCCCTGGGCTTCGCTCCCTGGGTCCCCGCGTGGTTATGAATCGCAGGGACCTTCCCGGGAGCCAGAAGTTGGATTCCCAAAGTGAAATACTTCCCTCCCTCAAATATTTCAGACTTTCTGTCCTTGTCACAGAAACCCAGAAAGAGGCCACAAGGACCCTGTTTCCTCCCTGTCTTCTCAGGCTGAAGAGAGTCAGGGCCTCGTGCTGTCTTCTCAGTGGAAGAAAGCAGGGAGCGGGGCTGAGACATGCTGAACTTTCCACTTCTGCAACCTCCCCGTACAGCCGGCCGGGACAACGGGGGCAGGAGCAGGGTGGCACCAGAGTCTAGTGTTTGGGCCAGTGGCTGGGGACAGTCACAGGGAGAGACCTGACATGGCTCTGCCACTGCTTTCCTGCATGACCTTGGTCAAGTCATTTCACCTCTCTCCGTGCCTTGCTTTTCCCTTTTGTTTGCTCAGCAAGATTGCCTGTATGTACGGCACCTAGCACAGCCACCCCTGGGCATCAGCCTTACCTCCAGGAGGTGTGTGGAGAAGCCAATCTGGGACATCTCCAGTTCGAAGGAGCTCTCGTTATAGCCGTGAGTGCCTGGTGGAGGGGAGAGAACACAACTCAGTCAGTGCCATTTGGGTTGCAGAGACCTGGGAGGTCCAACCTTGGCCAGAACCGGGCAGTGGACTCAGCTACGAACTGACAGTCCAGAAACTTGGTGGTGTTAACACCTTCATGAAGGAGATATCCCAGCTTTCCCTCACCGCCAAATTTCCAGACCCATGGAGAGCCCTGCAAGCAGGATGCCATGATCCTCATGGGCCGGATCCAGCCCATGGGTTGCATCTTGGTCACCCCCAGGGTCAGAACCAGGGGCCGTAGGAGCCCAGCTCTGCCCAGCACCGGCTGCTTCTGGACGGCCCATCCCGGCTACCTTCCAGGCTGAAGATCCTGTCCCCCAGGGCATCCACGATGTCGTTGAGGGCTGCCTCGTCCGTCACGTTGAAGAAATACTTCTCGTCGGGGTCGCTGGCGATGTACTTGATCTCACGGATGAAGGATTCGGGGTCCTGTTGCCGGCGAATGTAGTGCCCGAGGACCTGGGAAGGCAGGTGGTGATGTGGGGGAAGGTTGGGCAGGGGTCCTCTCTAACGAGTAGGCTGGAAAATCCTTTTCCCTCCCCCCTCCTGGAAAATGAATATTTGGCAGGGGACCAATTAGAGGATTGGAATATGCCAGGGTTGAGAGGCCTCGGGGACCTGAGCAATGGGCTAGGGCAGGAGAGACAAGACTAAAAACCAGTGAAGAGAAGGAAGGAAGGAAAGGATGAGAAGGGAGGAGGGGATGGGGAAACGGGGCAAAGAGGTGGAATAAGGGGTCTGCTCTCCTCTGCAGGGCTGGGCCTCATAAGATGCTTCATGAAGGAGATAACCCAGTGCCCATTATATAGATGGGCAAACTGAGTCAGGGGGAGCAGGTGCAGCCCACCCAGGGAAGGATTGGCTCCGCTGTCCTCAGGGCCCTACCCACCCAGCCCTGCAGGAAAGGCATGCAGGAAGGGAGCAGAGCAGACAGGCTGCCCCAGGGCAGGAGGCTGGCACTGTCCCAGCAGCTCACCGCAATGGCGTAGCGCGTGATGTTGCGCTTCTCGCACTCAGCCAGGGCCCCCGGCAGCTCGTCCCCGTCGTGAGACTCACCATCAGTCACCACGATCATCAGCTTGGTGGCTCCTTCCCGCCCGCCATGCTCCAGGCTGAAGGCCTCCGTGCTGGTGGCAGAGTGGGCGCTGAACAAGGTTGGAAGTGACCACCCCAAGGCCCCCCAGGAGGTCAGTGGCAGAGGCCCAGCCCCTTGCCCATGCAGCCCAGCCACCCCCTCTCCGGCCTCCAGCAGTGCAATACCAGTGTTAGGGCAGGGTCTATTATACAGGGCAAGGAATGGGAAGAGGCTAAGTGACATGCCCAAGGTCTCATGGGGAATCAGTGGCAAGGAAGAGATTCAAACCCCCCTCTGGCGGGCTTTAAACTACGCTTGTTGGGGGAAGGGGAAGATGAGGGCGGGGGAAGCCATAGACCACCAAACCATGTAGCACCCACAAGGACAGCCCAGCCTGAAGAAGGAGAACATCAGGAACCTGCAAGCCATGGGGCGGCCAGCACTACAGCACAGGTAAGCAATAAGGGGCCCTTTGGGCATCAGAGCCGGGGGGCAGCAAAGGTGCCAGTCGCAGGGCTCAAGTGCCTATACACTAATGCTAGGAGCATGGGGAACAAGCAGGATGAACTAGCACTCCTGCTTGCAGAAAACACCTATGACTTAGTAGGGCTAACGGAAACCTGGTGGGATCCTTCCCACGACTGGGCGGTACATATTGGGGGCTATAGATTGTACAGAAAGGATAGAGTGGGGAAAAAGGGGGAGGGGTTGCGCTCTATGTCAATGAGCAATATACATCGACCCTCATCAAGACGGAATTGGAGGAGGAGAAAGTAGAAGGATTGTGGGTTAGGTTACACGGGGGGCAAGGAGAAAGGGATTTGGTGGTAGGGGTCTGCTACAGACCCCCTCACCAAGGGGAAGAACTAGATTTGGGGCTCCTGAGGCAGCTCTTGGAGACCATAAAAACTAGGGAGGCGGTAGTCATGGGGGACCTAAACTACCCAGACATCTGCTGGGAGATGCAGACGGCAAAGTCCCACTGCTCACGCAGGTTTCTAACCTGTGTACAGGACCTCCACCTGACGCAGGAGGTACATGGTCCCACTAGGGGGAATGCCT